ACCTTTTTCATTTCTGATTGTGCTTTCTTGGATCTTCTCTTCCTTTTTCTTTGTTAAACTAGCTAGTGGCCTATCGATTTTATTTATTTTTTTGAAAAACCAAGTCTTGGTTTTATTGATCTTTTGTGTGGATTTTTACATGTCAATTTCATTAAGTTCTTCTCTAATTTCAGTGGTTTATTTTTCTTCTGCTAGCTTTGGGATTTTCTCCCCCCTAGTTCCTTTCCCTAGTTGACCTAGTTTCTTCCTTTCCAGAGATAGATTGTTAATTTGAGATTTTTTTAACTTCTTGATGAAGACATTTAGGGCTATAAACTTTCCTCTTAACACTGCCTTGGCTGCATCCAGAGATTTTGGTAAGTTGTGTCCCTATTTTCATTAATTTCAAATAATTTTTTTGATTTCTGCCTTAATTTTGATGTTGACCCAGGAGTTATGCAGAAGTAAGTTATTTAATTTCATGTATTTGTATAGTTTGAGGAGATCTTGATATTGATTTCTACTATTATTGTACTGTGATTCAAGAATGTGCTTGGTATGACTTCAATCATTTTGAATTTATTGAGACTTTTTTATGATCAAGCATGTGGTTGATCTTAGAATATATTCTGTGTGCAGACGAGAAAAATGTATACTTTTTGGTTATTGGGTGTAGTGTTCTGTAGCTGTCTGTGGTCCAGTTGGTCAAGTGTCAAGTTTAAATCCAGAGTTTCTTTGTTAACTTTCTGCCCCGATCTAACACTGTCAGTAGGATGTTCAAGCCTCCCACTAGTATTTTGTGTTTGTCTAAGGTTTTTCATTGGCCAAGAAGAACTTGTTTTATGAATCTGCGTGCTCCAATGTTGGGTGCATATATATTTAGAATAGTTAAGGCTTCTTGTTGGATTGTACCCTTTATCATTATATAATGCCTTTTATTGTCCTTGATTTTTGATTTAATGTCTGTTTTACTTGATATAAGTATAGTGACTCCTGCTCTTTTTTCCTTTCAGTTTGCATGGTAGAATTTTCTCCATTCTTTTACTTTGAGCCTGTGGGTATTATTATATGTGAGACTGGTTTCTTGAAGAAAACTGACATTTGGAGCTTGTCTTTTTATCAGGCTTCCCACTCTGTGACTTTTAAGTTGGCATTAAGCCTATTTACATTCAAGGTTACTATTGATATGAGTGATTTTAATTTTGTCATTGTGTTGTTAGCTGGCTGTTATGTAGACTTAATTACGCAGTTGCTTTATAGTGCTTGTGGGCTATGTGCTGAAGTGTGTTTTGGGGTAGCAGGCTCTTTCAATTCTATGTTTAGCACTCCCTCACCAGGTCTCCCTCATCAGGGACCTGAGGATCTGAGGACCCCCTCATCAGGTCCACTTCTGGGGATCTCTTGTAAGTCTGTTGTAGTTTAAATATATTCCCTCAGAATTTGCTTTTCTGAGAAGGATTTTATTTCCTCTTTATTTAAGAAGTTTAGTTTGGCAGCATATGAAATTCTTGGTTGGAATTTTTTTTCTTTAAGATGCTAAAAATAGGCCCCCAATCTCTTCTGGCTTAAAAGGTTTCTGCTGAAAGGTCTGCTGTTAGCCTGATGGGTTCCCTTTGTAAGTTACATGCCCCATCTTTCTTGTTGCCTTTAAGATTTTTTCTTTTGTGTTGACTTTAGTGAATCTGATGACCACATGCCTTGGGGATGGTTGTCTCTTACAGTATCTGGCTAGGGTCCCCTATATTTCTTGGATTTGCAGGTCAACCTCTCTAGTGAGATCAGTGAAATTTTCATGGACTACACCCCCAAATATATTTTCCAAGTTGCTTATTATTTCTTGTTCTCTCTCAAGAATGCCAATGAGTCACAGATTTGGTCTGTTTGCATAATTGCATATTTCTCAGAGATTTGGTTCATTTTTCTTTATTCTTTTCTCTTTATTTTTGCCTGAGTTGACTCAATTACCTGTCTTCAAGCTCTGAGATTCTTCTCTCTGCTTGGTTTATTCTGCTGTTAATACTTCTGATTGTATTTTGAAATTCTCGTAGTGAATTTTTCAGCTCAAGAAGTTCAATTTGGGTCTTTCTTAAAATGGCTTCTTAGTCTTTGAACTCTTGAATCATTTTACTGAATTGCTTTGCATCCTTGAATTGAGTTTCAACTTTCTCCTGGTCTTGATAGGCTTCCTAGCCATCCAGATTCTGAATTCTATGTCTGTCATTTCAGACATTTCAGACTGATTAACCATTGCTGGAGACTGATTAACCATTGCTCCATGGCCTATCTGGAGGTAAGGAAACACTTCAGCTTTTTGAATTGCCAGAGTTCTTATGCTGACTTTTTCCCATCTGAGAAGGCTGGTGTTCCTTTAACTGTGATGGAAATCTCATACAGTCAGTTGGCTTTGTTTCTGGAAGTTTTCAGAGGGCTGAGGCTCTGTACAGGATCTTTGTTGTTCAATTCTTGCCCTTGGTTTATCAACAGGGAGAATTTGCAGAGTGACTTTTTTGTTCTTGTTGTAGTTTGGGCTGTGATCCAGTAGACAGTGCTTGAGAACAATGGATGGAAGATGGGCAGCATGGCTCCTTTGTGTGTCCTTGGATTTGTAGCTATGCTCTGCAGTGCAAGGGGGAGAGAGGTGACCCCCTCACCAGATCCATTCCTGGGGATTGGGGGGGCCACCTCTGATCACTGGCACTTTGCCAACAATTCCATTTATTTATTTATAATTTTATATTTCAGCCTCAGGGCTCCCTTGGACAGAGGTCCAGCAGGGATTTAGGCCATATCCTTACTGGACCTGCTCTGTGGAGGGAGGCATATCTAGGTTCTAGGCCAACCTGTGAACCAGTGCAATTCATCCTTCTCAGTTTTCTGAGAGTGTGGGGTCCTCCCCGACTTGAGTGCAAGGCATAGATCCTGAGCCATGGGCCATGGCCCTGGGGTATCAGGACCTGCTTGCAGCTCCCTCCTCCAGACTCTTGGGACTGGGTCCCAGGTGCACTACAGGATCTGAAAGGCTCCCAGGCTTCCAGAATGCACTTAGGTGGTACAAAGCACCCAGGCTGGGCAGTGGAGCTATGCCATGTACAGGCTTCTGCAGGGTGGCCAGGCAGGAGCCCTGGGAGGGGCTGGTAGGCAGGTAGCCTGTGGGACAGATGTGCCCCAGTCCCACAGGGAAGGTGGCCCTGCTTTCTCCTCAGTTAGGGCCAGAGACTGTCAAAGGGAGATAGGTTAGCTAGGGTCAGAGCCTGTCAAAGGGAGATAGGCAGGCCTTGGTGGGTTAGGCTCCGCCAAAGCTCTCCCTAGTAGAAAGGTTCCTGGCACCATGCTTGCGGCAGCTCTGTCTAAGCACATGTCTAATCTCTGATGACATCCACCTACCAGCTGAAATGTCCATGGCAGGTGTGAGGTCTCCAGTCTCCAAGTCCCTTCACTTACCCCTTCCTCAGACACTGCATAAGGCCAGGAAGGAGCCTTAGCATTCAGTTACCCTGCTTGGAGTTTCCAGCTTCCTCCCTCTTCAGCCTCAGGGTCTGCATCTTTTCTACATCCACATTCAGCATCTTCTTTACAAAGATCTATTCAAATTATGTTGATTTAGTCAAAATCTTGGCCTCTCTCTAAGGGAGCAGCACTTCCCAGCAGCATCGAATTGGCCATCTTAAGACCCAGTTGGTATATAATTTTTAAATATTTAATAGAAACTTTAAAATATTTGAAAAATTAATCTTACATTACCACACTGCTCATTCTGAATTGTCAGCTTCCATGAGTTGAATCATTAACTGTCTGAACTATGTATTCTTCAAATTAAAACAAATGACATATTTGGAATAATTTTTTCTAAAGGTGGACAACATGATATTTCTGTAGTATTATTAAATTACTAATATTTGGGCAGCACTTAACAAGTTAGATAACTGACTTGATAGTTTGTAAAACTAATCTCATTGACACTTCTTCTAGTCCAGATATTATTTTCTCTAATAAACAACCATTGTTTATAAAAATCACTGTCAAAGAAAGATTAAAATAGATTTAATGAACTAAAAGAAGTGGAAGGTTTGTTTATTAAGAGGAAGAGTTCAGAGATCTGAGCTCAATATAAGATGAGCATACATCTTAAATGAAATAAAGAGAATAATAGGAAAGAAAGAAGTCAAATGAATAAACATTTTTCATCAAGGAAAATATAGGAAAAAACATTTGCCTATATTTTCATAAAGGCAAAATGTAAATATCTAATTAAAGTGCAGTTGTAAAGAAGGACAGGCAATACAGCTTTATTAACATACAGCTGTTGTTTATTGATTGTCCAACATCCTTGATGAAGATTAGATTTTATCACCTACTGGGTCCTCAGGGTCCACCCGGGAGGTGGTGGGTTTTGACAGTTGACAAACACAGCTGAACTTTACCTATTATTCACAGCTGGTTTTCTTTTTTTTTTTTTGGAGACAGAGTCTCGCTCTGTCACAGAGGCTGGAGTGCAGGAGCACAATCTCGGCTCACTGCAAGCTCCGCCTCCTGGGTTCACGCCATTCTCCCGCCTCAGCCTCCCGAGTAGCTGGGACTACAGGCGCCCGCCACCATGCCCGGCTAGTTTTTTGGATTTTTAGTAGAGACGGGGTTTCACCGTGTTAGCCAGGATGGTCTCGATCTCCTGACCTCGTGATCCGCCCGCCTCGGCCTCCCAAAGTGCTGGGATTACAGGCGTGAGCCACCGCGCCTGGCCCACAGTTGGTTTTCGATATGAATTTCTGTGAATAAAGTTTTCTATTACTAAATTTTTAATAGTAAAATGGAGAACGTTTTTCTTATTGCCATTGTTTTTTTCTTTTCTTTTTATACAATTACATTATTTTACAGCATCTTTTAATACCATCAACCTATAGAAGATAGTCAGAATGTGGTTGTATTTCCTTACAGGTTCTACTGACTTAGAAGTGTTCTGAAGTTGAAGGGTATGATTCCTTCTCATTTTGTTTCAAAACAGGATCCCCATTTCCCTAACGTAGGATTCGAGGGCACAAGCAGAGAAGGAAAGGGGGGTCAAAGTCAGAACCGCCTAGAAGGCAACGAGAAGCAGAAGCGCGGGCCTGCCAGATGCTCTGCAGAGTCACTTACCTGCGGGCTGCGGAAGGCCACAGAAGGAACTCAGCATCCACCGGCCACATTCTGCTCCCCGGAGCGGAGGGCAGAGCCGAGTTTCTTCAGGCAGTGGCTCCAGCCAGCTCTGCCCCACAGGTAAGGAGCGCGCAGCTGCCACACACGGCAGGCAGCGCGGACAGACTCTGCCTTCCTGGGGCGCCCGCGTGTGGAGGACGCCGCCCTGGTCGCTGTTGGGAGCCCCGCAGGCCCGTGGCCTTCTGCCTGGTTCTCCCACCACTGCAAGCCTCGCCTTCAGGACTCCGCCTGGCCTTCCTCTTTTCTGTTGGAGAGACTCACGGGACCGTCTGTCTGGACGATGTGTGCACATTTCTTACCACGACTCCTCTGCACACCGGGTCCAGGCACCGCTGCGCTGGGGACGGCACAGCTGAACTGTGCAGGCAGCGAAGGGGCCTCACGGGGACCGCTCAGCTCCCTGAGGGCGCAGCCCACCTGGTCCCGGGGGGAATAAACTTCCGCGGTTTTCAGTGACCCAGTTTGTGGCACGGCACATGTTGAAAAGTTAAATTCTGGGCGCGTTACTTCAGAGATGCACTGTGAGCAGCTTTGAGCGGCGAAATGACCTGTTCACCGAACAGCGCCCTCTGTAGCCCAGAGCTCAGAACGGGCCTTTTCGTGATGTTCCTGCATTGTGTTTACAGCCTCCCTGCGAGGGGGTTGCGCGCAGAGGCGGACCTCGTTTATTGCGCCTTGCTCTATGGTGCCTGGCAGATACCGCATTTTTTTTTTTTTTTTTTTTTTACAAATTGAAAGTTTGTGTCAACTCTGTTGGGGCACCTCTATGGGTGCCATTTTTCCAACAGCTTGTGTTCGCTTCATATCTCTGTGTCACATTTTGGTAATTCTTGTAGTATTTCGAATTTTTTCATTATCATTATGTCTGTCATGGTGATCTGTAATCAGTGATCTTTGATTTTACTTTGTAATTGTTTTGGAGAACCAACAACGGCACCCACTTAAGACAGAAAACGTAATAAATGTCAGGTGTGTTCCGAGTGCTCCAATGACCAGCTGCTCCCTCTCTCTCTCCCTCCCCTCAGGCCTCCCTATTCCCTGAGACACAATTGTGGAGTTACACCTTTAATAACCTACAGCGGCCTCTAAGTGTTCAAGTGAAAGGAAGAGACACACATCTCTCACTTTAAATCGAAAGCTAGAGATGATTAAGCTTAGTGGGGAAAGCCTGTTCAAAGTTGAGAACGGTTGAAAGCAAGGCCTTGTGTACCCAGGAGTTAGCCCAGCTGTGAATGCAAAGGAAAACCTCTTAAAGGAAATTAAAAGTGCTGCTCCAGTGAACACATGAATGACAAGAAAGCGAAACAGCCTTATGGCTGATTTGGAGAAAGTTTGAGTGGTCTGGATAGAAGATCAAACCAGCCACAACTTTCCCTCAGGCCAAAGCCTACTCCAGAGCAAGGCCCTAACTCTCCTCAGTTCCACAAAGGCTGAGAGGAGTGAGAAAGCTACAGAAGAAAAGTTTGAAAGTAGCAGAGGTTGGTTCATGAGATTTAAGGAAATAAACCATGCATACAAGTGCTTCCCGCCAATAAAATGTCATGAGATAAGAACTTTTTGCAAATTTGCTCACTGTTGATTCCCTAGCCCTAAAACAATGCCTGCCACACGGTGGCCATGGAATAGCTACAGGATGAGGGGTCAGAAGGTGCATCAGGATGAACGATCACTCGTGAACAAGGCAAAACAAAGGACATTTTCAGATGA